GAGAGCGAACTGAACACATACGCTTCTGGTATAATAATACTTTTATTATATATTAGTAATGTTCGTGTTGCGACCACAAGGATAGAGAAGATAAAAGATGTAGATGCGCATGCGGCGAGCATAAACTATCGCTCGAGCTTAGATAGAGATGGCGCGGGATGTGTCCGCTCGGGTATCGCCACATAAATTCTAACATATTATATTTTGGACTTACTTCAATTGAGCTTCTATGGTTTCCAGTCGCTTTTGAAACTTCCTACAAAATAAATATACGTTAGCTCCAAAGTGCATTATATAATAATTTTCTTTTTTGCAATAATTATCATATACTCACCAATATTGCACATTATTTTCTGCATGGCGTGGTTGAGCCTGAAACTTTGAAACATTTGGCATTATATTTGATTCATATGTAAGTATAGGTTCAGTGTAATTTGGTTCATGGGATGTTTGTAATTGTATGTAAGAAATGTTTTGTGAATTTGTGGCTGTCTGTGTGTATGCCAGAGATGATTGTGATACTTGTATATTCTGTGTGTGTAAATGGTTCTCATTGTTAGTATAAATTGGCGAGCAGTTTTCGTCTAAAACTGCTCGCAACTCCCTTATATCGTCTGTTATCTGTAATCCTCTTCCATCTGCTGTCTTCTTTCGTGGAGCTTCATCTGATGATGTGGTTATATATCTTGAAGGCTTCATGATTTGCCTTTTAGGGCGATCCATTTTGCTATAAGAAAAGAATGTACAGAAACGGAAATATTGCAAATATAAGAAGAAACAATAATGTCAGAGAGAGGAAAAGGAATAGAATGTTTAAAAAAACATGAAAAAAGAGAAAAACGAAAGAAATAAGGAAAAAACAGACGAGAGGAAAAAGAAGATTGCAAGAAGAAAAGTGAATAAAACAATTTTTTTTAATGTGAACATAATTGTGTATACCCAGGGAGAACAACAGGTCTAATAGACGTCTATAAACGTTTCTTAGACCTGTTGTTCTCCCTGGGTAAAGCAAAGGCAAATTGTGTGAATACATGTATATTGTAAAATATAAAGTAACAGAATCATGTATCCCGAGAAGGGAA